GGGGGGGGGGGGAGGAGCGCACGACCAGGCATCTACGCCATAACGCTATCAGCCACCGAGGCGAGCGGGACCTGCCGCGTTATTTTCTAAATTATTTCGCGCTGATTTTTAATACCGCATTTGGACTTCGCCACTAAGGCAATAATTAACACAATTTTTCGCATACTTATCACACAAGCAGGTGTTGTGGGCTTTACCGCAGCGGGTAATTACCGCGTTTCATTTAGTTTTTTACTTGTTAGATAGAGAAACATCGCGATCGAGTTCCTCAATGCCGATCAAATATTATCATCAGCCATTTATTATTTGAGTATTATTATTTCTTTATACGGTTGTCATTTAACTATTTTTATTACGTATTGGGAAGCAAATCGAGCGTGCCATTACGACGTTTCCTTACCTCGTCTTGCTGTCGTGTGTTATTAATTGATATTACCGGACATTATTATACGATTGTCGATCAGACATTATTATCATCGCCTATTAATTAATTGGGAATTATTACTTCTTTATTTGGCTATTATTTAATAATTTTTTATTGCGCTTTGGAAAGGAATGTGCCGTTACGACAATTTCTTTTCATCGTCTTGCTGTCGCGTATAACTATTTGATACTAATTTATTAAATTACTAATTGATACTAAATTAAATTAAATTTCTGTCACAGAGATCTAATAGAGAAGAGACAGTCACACGGCTCTAGGGAATATGATGTCTGGGGGATGCCGCGCCGAAGGATTTGGCTCGGGCCTGGCAGAGTTGGCACGAAAGTGAGTTTCATTGATTTAAATTCGTAATTAGAAATCCAATAAACTTGGAAATTCTTTTGTTTGAAATCAAGTTCCTTAATGCCACAATTGTCGTGTGTAATACTAAATTAAATGTACTTTTTGTTGCAGAGACGAAGCAGACGACCAGCTAACTCTTAAAGGTTGTTGTGCCGGAGGATCCGGCTCGGGCCAAGCGGGGTTAGCTCGAAGGTTAGCTTCCCTAATTAACATTTATAATTATAAATCCAATAATATTGATAATTCTCTTGCTCGAAATCGAGATAATTTGAATCAAGTCAAAGATCGCGTTAAATCGTAATTACATGCGGGGAGAATTTCTTCCTGAATAACATCACCACTTGAATAATGGTGATTTCTAATTAAGAGATTTATTTGAAACGTCAAGAAAAAGGAAAGTATGGAATATTCTAAGTGCGATTGCATTCCGAAAAATTCTCCCAGAGTGAAAAATATCCCGCGTTTATTTTTTTTTTAATATTGCAAACTTCTTCACTCAAACCAACATCAGTGCACGAATCTAATCGGCGAAACATTTTTCTGTTCCAGAAACGAAAGCAGAACGTGGCTGCCCTGATCGGCGGGTCGGTGAGTCAGACAAGACAAAAATTGGTAATAGAAAGTCTTTCCATGTAATGCATGTTTATGAATCAATGCGATTTACTTTACTGTGGTGTAGTGTGTGTATGTGCCGTCCAATAGAGCACACTGCTCGAAACAAATGAAAGATCGCTTTTACAAATAATATTAGTGATAATGCATTTTTATAAATTTGACAAATTTTCAAGTATTTTTCCCCCAATGTATATATATTTATTAATTGTTTGACTAACTTAGATTATTGATTGGTCAATGATTTTTGTTGAAGAAAATTTTGATTAATTAAACGCTAACACTGTCTGGCAGATGCCATTAAAGTATCGAATATACGCTCTGAATTCAAAATTTTGTAAAATTATTCAGTTTTATTGAATGCGATCTTCCAGGTGTCTCGATCAGTGCGTCAACGCGCAGAGATTGCGCTACAGAGATTGCGCTACAGAAAATGCGCAATCACATCACGTCTCGATAGATTTTCTGCCGGTCGTTAATTTTCTCAGTTTCCTTTCTCGCGTGAGCTTGCGTCGCGATTGCATTTCATAAAGTACAGAGGTCGTTATTAAATAAAATTCGATATCGTGCAGCGTATGCGCGAAGCAATCTAACGTGATTACTTAAACTGCTCGCGAAATTAATTTTACGATTGTCGGAAAATTTTCAGGTTTCAATTTTTCACTTAGAGTTAGAGTTTCCTAACGCGAGACACAATAGAGGCAATGTTAGCGAGCGTTGATCCCTCGTGAAAAACACGATGTACACAAGTCAGACATGCGAGCAGTTGTTTGTTTACTTACGCGGCGCGCGACAAATTCCATCGAACGAAGACAGATGTCTCACGCGATAACATTTCTTTCGCGTGAATTTTAAATAGAATCTTTCTCTCTATTGTCACAATTTTTATAGTTTTTGATTTTCCATTCACGCTCGCGTTCGCGATTATTAATTTGATAGGTTTGCGAATTTCACCTGATTGTATTTGCGGAAGAGTTGCGAGCAAACTACGCAGAAATATTGCGGAGTTGTTATCCGCAAAAGCATTGCGAAATTGTTTTCGCAAAAGTATTGCGGAGCTGTTATCCGCAAATATATTGCGGAGCTGTGTTGCAGCCTACCACGCTACACCATCGAAACGTTACATTAGGGATATTCCGTATTATGAGAATCTCGCATAGATTACTTCGCTTTCGCGTCGAAAGATTTCACGAGATCGGTCTTCGATTCGCGTCGCGTGTTCCCTTCACTCGCGGATTCCGTTTTCTTCAAAAGCGATTCGCGTCGTGCGTGTATCAAAGCGATGTACTACAATTCGATCGGACCGTTGCTAAATTCTTCGCATATACTCGTCTTTTATCCGAAAGGCCAACATTTCCTCGAAGACGCAGTTCGCGATATTTCATACGCAATTCACAACTCGGAGTGTTTCCTCCAAGAGAAACGGAATTTTTCGTGAATAGACCGCGGTCGGGAGTGAATTACAGGCGACGTGAGACGTGAGGACCATTGCAGAGTCAGATGCAGCGACAGGATGGCTGGTGGACCCTGGACACCGTGGGACGACGCGCAATGGTGAGCGCTCAATTTAGACGCTCATATAGTAGACACAAAGCGTCACTTTACGTAGATTGCATGCACGTAGACGTAAATCGCATTGGGTCCGACGGGACGTAAAGTAAAAATTGGAATTTGTAATTCGTCGGAGTTACATAAAAATGATCTAACCAAAGAATTTAGCTCTAGAGATTTTCGCAATAGTTTGACGAGTCAAGCATTTCCATTTCTTTAAGAGTACTGACTAGCTCAACCTTTAGAAAAATGTGCAAAAAGACGCGACTGGTAAATACAAAAAACTTTCTTAATTTCAAACATCTATAAGGCTTGCATTTTTCTTGTTTGGTTTAAAAAGATGTGAATAGAGTATCCACTGATAAAAGCTTATAATTTTTTTAATTGGATCATTTTTACGTAATAGTGGCCAATTGAAATTTCGACTCGGCAGGCTTCCTTCTCGTCGGATTGTTTCTTGGTGATACATTAAACTGATATATTTCAACATGTCATATTTATATGCCCTGTACATATATATGCTGTATATATATATTATATATGCATTTTATACTCTATATATGTTTTATATATACTCTATGTATGCTCTATATATACTATTTGATTAATATAATTTATAACTTGTTATGTTGTATTATATACGACATAATATTTCTTCGGAGATATTTTTTTATATATACGCATTTGTTATTGACAAGACGAAAATTAAATTTCGATAAATTAAAGACAAGAAATCAAATTATTAAAATGAGACTCGAACCGAAATGTTTCGATTTCCGCTAAATTATTAAGCCGAGATTCGGATTCAAGTGTTTTGAGATTCCGCTAAACCATTAAACCGAGATTCGAACCGATATGTTTTGAGGCTCCGCTAAATTACTAAGCCGAGATTCGAACCGATGTGTTTTGTGTTTCCGCTAAATTATTAAGCATAGATTTGAAACGAAGTGTTTTGAATCTTCGCTAATTTATTAAGCCGAGTTAGTTAAGCCTGGGATAATTTTTTAAAGTTGCTTATAGAAATTTTTATATTTGAAAAGACTTATATTATCAAAAATGATGTGAAGTGTGCGTATTTCGCTCTGCATCATCTCTTGGATGACAACATGCCTTAATATCACTCTACTCCCTCAGTAACACGCCCAAAATCTTGAAAATAATTTTCAATAGCTAAAGCCGCATGTTACATCCGGGTGTATATCAGTTGGACACGGGACAATTGGACACAGTCCAATCACAAGTCGCTGTTCCAAGGGATCCTACAAATGTCTCTAATCACACGGTGCTGTGATTGGCTGTGTCCAAATGCACCGTGTCCAAGTGCACCGCTCCCGTTAGTATGTAGAGCACATTCTAGGATAATTTTTCACAGTCTTTTAAAGTAATTTTCGCAGTTGCGAGAGTTCAATTTCGAAAAAGACATCAAGTGTACATATTTTGGTCTGCATCATCTCCTGAATGACAATGTGTGTTTGTGTCACTCTGTTCCCTCAATAGCACGCCCAGAATCTTGAAAATAATTTCCCAATATCCGAAAGTCGCGCCCATAACGTTAGATCCATCGTAACATTCGGATTCTCGCGCATGTGCAGTGGTACCGATTCTGCTCATGGGCCGAAAGTCGATCATGTTACTACAGGTTACTTAGGTCATATAGGTTGCGTTCGCTTTGGGTGCTTATGCGCTGTAAGCGTCATTCTATCTTCTTCCCGCATGTAATGAGCGATAAAGATAGAATGACGCTTACAGCGCGTAAGCGCCCAAAGCGAACGCAGCCATAGTGTTAACATCTAGAGCACATTCTGGGATAATATTTTTCTATTTTTTTAAGTAATTTTCGCGTTTGCAAAAATGTATTTTCGAAAGTGAGGTGAGTTTTGACTATATCGCTTTGCATCGTCTTCCGAATCATAATGTGCGATTCTATTCCTGCAGTAATACGCTCAGTATCTTGAAAATAATTTTCCAATATTCTAAAGTCGCATTCATAACGTTGGATCCAACTTAGCGTCGTAGGAAATTCGTTTTCTCGGGTCGAAAGTCGGTCATGTTACTGTATATATTTGAATTTAGGTCTTATCTAAATCGGGTCGTTCCTCCTTGATGAAGCAAACTGAAATGTTCACGAAACGTCGGAATCAAACAAAAATGAATCCAAGCGGCTCAAACCCGGAAACCAAATCTAATATTTAGATCTTATATTTTTAGCATCTAGAGCATATCTGGGATAATTTTTTACTGTTTTTTAATGTAATATTTGTTAATGTCTAAAGACATCACCTTGCTACCTGGGTACTTCGCGTGGTCCGCTTATCAGTTGTGAGACAAGAACAGAGTGATTGGATGTCTGTCCTTTTCTAACTTTCTACTATCATTGTACGGGAGTACAACGGGCACGAACCAGACGTATTTTATCGTTACCACCGCGAAAATGCGCCTAACGAACGTAGTAAAGGCGCACTTTGTTAGATGGCGTCTTGAAAATGCGCCTAGTTCTGGCTACTGAAATCAAGCTGGTAGCCGCTCTCAGGCTTCTCTCTGGTCGTACCACGACCTCGATTTCTCGTTTAGGAAAGTAGCGTCTCGTAGCGGAGACTTTGGAACTAATCTTCTTTCTGATCATGGATAAATAACGGATCTATAATCGCTTAAGTTCGTACACTATAGCCGATATATTCATAGTCCGATCTTATATTTAAGATCATCTTAAATATTGTTTTAAGATGTCATGAACCAATCATAGGCCAGTATTCATAGTCCGATCTTACATTTAAGATCATATTAAGTACTGTCTTAAGATGTCATGAACCAATCACAGAGCTGTATTCGCATCTTAAGACATTAAGACAGTCTTGAAATAAGATTCGACTATGGTCGGTATTCATAGTCCGATCTTATATTTAAGATCATCTTAAGTACTGTCTTAAAATGTCATAAACCAATCACAGAGCCGTATTCGCATCTTAAGACATTAAGACAGTCTTGAAATAAGATTCGACTATGGTCGGTATTCATAGTCCGATCTTATATTTAAGATCATCTTAAGTACTGTCTTAAAATGTCATAAACCAATCACAGAGCCGTATTCGCATCTTAAGACATTACTTAAGACGGTCTTGAAATAAGATTCGACTATGAATACCTATGAATTGAGGATTGCTATCGGTCCAATCAGGTAATCTAAATCTTGATTTTTCTACTGTACTTGGTAAATCTGCTTTATTTAGTGTCAATTGTTCCAGTCTTTTGATAAACTACCTGAGTTAAATCATATGTCTGTCTTTGTTTTTTCTTCAAATACAAATATATGATTTTTTTCTTCAAATACATATATATGATATGATATGACAAAGACAAATATATGATTTAACTATTAGGTAGCTTACCAAGAAGTTGGAACAACTAGTCCTTAAGCGGTTCGATTGCAATTCTTAATTCACAATCTGGTGCGGGTATTAAACTGCGACTGTGATTTTACTATAGCATTGGCCGGCATTGAATGGATACATCCAATAATACAACCGCTCAGTCAGTTCTTGAATCTAGTTCATACTTTTAAATACCGGTAAAATCTAAAAGTATGCACCAATTAGGTTCAAGAGCTCACTGAACTCAGAAGAGCTTAGTGAAGTCGTTTTTCATCAGAGTTCGTCAATTATTTTGGCACTCCCCTAAGTAACCACTGAAAATGAGCATCTCACAGAATGGATAGTCGACAACGTCTTTCGCTTTCTAGAAAAGGCCCGTAAGTACAAAAAATAATACAAAGTTTGCGACAAATCTACTTTCTTCTTTTCCTTATTTTTGGTTAAAAATACTGAATATATACTAGCATTAGAGTCAAATTTAATCTCTGCATTTAAATGATTATGTCATTTGGGACTTACCTCGATTAGTAAATAGTTTCTCGCTCACTTGCATTACAGAGGATGTTATAGTTCAAGATAATTATATCGAAAGCAAAGTAATTAATTGTGTATGTATAGTTACCTAATTTTTAACGATATCTAATAAATCATATTTTTGTATTTTTTTTACATGTTATACATGTTTTATTTTCATATCGACGATATCTAATAAATCATATTTTTGTATTTTTTTTTACATGTTATATATGTTTTATTTTCATTAAAAATTTATATTCAAGATAACGTGAAATTTCTATTAAATTTAAAGTCATAACATTATTTATGATATAAATATATATAAATTACGAACGTGATTGTACAAAATCGGGCAACAATATCAAATTTTCTACAATATCAGAATATCACGGCCACGAACTTAATTTCGATGGTCCTCCGAGGAACCTGCCTGATTCTTTTCACCGTTGTTTTCACGAGGACTATTATAACGGCTACTCGAGTTCGAATGCAGATATTTATCTGATGCATGCTTAGACTTTACTTTTGATTTGCCTTTAGTTCTTTGTATGCGCTGTGTAATCTCCTCAATGTACCTTTGATCTTTCTCATTAATTTTAATGTTAACATCACCGCCCGCGTATCCCTCAATTTGTCTGAAATTATAATGAGTTTTCTGAGAAAAATGTCCGATATTGTTGTACTACTTGGAATACAATACATTTGAAATAATAAGATTTTCTCGTAAGACCAATACTTCAAATCCTTTCGCAAAATGATATTATATAATATTACGTAAATTAGCCAAAAATAAGGAAAATAATATAAATGACAAGTAATATAATACGATTTAATAATCATCCGTCCTAAACATAATTCTACAGGGTATCTCGAAACAATCTCTGAAGTTCTCGTAAAAGCATACACGATATTCATACACGATAGCAGACGTCATCATTACAGCTCATCTACTATATCTTGCGTAATTATTCACAAATTTTCTTCAATTAATATTTTAATAATTATTGCGAATAGCAAAAAACGATATAGAACTTTTATGTTTAATTCGTGCTATGCCTCCACGAGAGCTTCGGAGATTGTTCTGGGACATCCTATATATACATATATATATATATATATATATATATATATGTGTGTGTGTGTGTGTGTGTGTGTGTGTGTGTGTGTTAAGAAAAAAATGTACGTGCATTAATGACGTACGTGTTTTTAATGACTTTACGATCGATATCCTAAATTTCAATGTACCGCGTTTTATACTGAACGTCGGCATCGTGGCTTTCATTAAACAAATACGAGAAACCCTTATAGAAATATCATACTAAAAATCATTGATAATTACTTATTTTCAGTATTAAAAATACTGGATAATAAGTAATTATCAATGATTCTTAGTATGATATTTCTATAAGGGAATATGGTACGTGATTATTAGGAGCGAAATAAATATAACAGAGAGCAAAGCTCACTTCTGATACCGGTATAATTTCATGATTAACTTGTTTAGATACAGCATCTCCTTTTGCATAGTCTTTAATTCCAACTCTTTTTCCTGAAAGTAAAATATCATTGATGCGCGACTAACGTTCGTACCTTGATTAAAGTTTATCTAGGGAAAGGATACTCCAAAGAAAACTTTTTCTCTTTAAACTCGTGTACATTATGCGCACCTTAATTTTTTGATACGTTCGGTTTACATTACCAAATTAGATATCATAATTAATTTTTAAATATGCTCGCTCAAAACGCATAGCAAAAATAATAAAGATATATCGAAACTGCAAGTTATACACTGAGAGAAAAAATACCTAAAAAAATATTTAAAAAATTTATTCAATGAATATTAGTAACATATTTACTTGTATTAATATATATATATATTTTTTTTTTAATTAAGTGGATATATTTTTCAAATGAGAAAATATGCTTTTTTTTAAATCGTTACTTTTCAGAAAAGTAGTTATTTATTCTATTTGAATAAAAAATTTAATTTTATAAGTAAATACATTATTAGTACCCATCATAAATATTCTTTTATTTTTTATATATTTTTTCTTCATTTGTATGAAGAACAATATATATTTTTTCTTCGTTTGTGTCGATATGTGATGCAATAATATTAATGACATAATTATTATTACATTACATTATTATAAGTTAATTTATTGGCAAATTCGATTGGATACACGCACGGTCTAAGACGCACACTAAGACCGGAATCATAGTTCGTTTTTATATTTAAGTTTTGTATTTATAGTTTTTCCTTTTATTGAAAATCTCGTTTTAAATTTATCTTCAGATACTGTGCAAATCATTTCATTAGCTGCGGGACATTTAAAGGTGAATTTGAGGCGATCTTAAATATAGTAACAGACTATGATACCAACTTTATTGTATATTAGCTCATCCAATCGAATTCGTCAATATGTTTTCGCGCAAAAAAGAGCGTCGGGAGGTCGCGTCGGGAGGTTGCACCAGGCTATATTGCCCCAACATTCTAGAACTAAGTTTTCTATTTACACGAAACTCGATTTCCAACATTACCGTCAGGGTCTGCGTGACCATATGGAGTTCATCTTGGCGAGTTTCGTAAAGATGATGCGCAGTGACCGCCTCTGTGGTCAATCGTGCTAATTGCCGTCGGCAATTCTGCTCGCGCTCCATCGCTTTATCCCAGGCTTCCTCTCGGGCGATTACGGCGTCCCTTAAAGTCCGCATGTCTCTCTCTAGTAACTCGAGCTCCGATCTAATCGAGTGGAGGGTAGAGTAACCGGATATATAAAAGAAATATGAACAGCAACAAGGGGTAAACCGCGAAGAAGTTTCGTTGTGCAAACAGAGATCGAGTTGATATTACTCGAGGACGGTGTTATTCAATTCGCGTAATTAACTGTTATATTAATATGTAATAAGCTTTTCGTGACTTGTCATTTATTTATTTTTTTTTATTTATCTTTTCTTATTAAACTTTGAATTTGAAAACACTATTATACTTGAAATGATTTATGCATAAATGTGTCTCTCGTGGAAATAATTTAAAGGTCTTATGTAGTAATTAATCGTTCTATTGTTTGGATCAAACGTTGAATACACGCAAATGTCAAGTATCTGCGTAATTCTAGTTAAATCTATTGTAGTATCTAGTTAATTCTATTGTAGTTTTGAAGGTCTGAACGTCTCAGTGGCAAAGCTTGCGCGTGCCGGATTTAGAATATTAAGGCAAGAGTTCGAGACGCGAGAGATCTCGTTTAAATGCGCACTTGACCAATTTCTCGCACAATTGAAGCGTGTAGTCTCGATCTAACTAGCTGCAATTTCGTCAGGGAACTCACTTCGTGATAGTGACCGTAGGTGGTTCTCTTTGGCATCCCTCCAATTCCCTGCGGCAATCTTTGCAGGCTTCCCAAATTTGTATCCCACGATCGGTCTTCGGAACGATATCCGTCGACGAGGTGCATTTGTCTTCCAGACAGCTTTCGTCGTTTTTCTGAAACTTACATGGAAGATCCCAAATTCGCATATTTCATACTTTGAGCTACGTATATTTCACTCATTCGGGCGAAGCGTTCGTTCGTTCTCACCGTTTGCTTCTCTAACAATTCGCTCAGCTTGGCTCTTTTTTGGTTATTGAGATCCTCTTGCAGCAGCGACATGTTTCTTTGTAAATCCCTTATCTTGGTTGCGTTATCTTCGAGTCTGTACATTGTTTATCTCGAGGAAATTCGTACGTAGAACCAGATATTCGTCAAATCGCGAACGTGACTATTAAACTACATTGTTATCTAGCATTACACGGTGATTAACTGCGACGGTCTTACCGCCTCGCCAAGCTCCTGTTTTCCGCGATGAGATCTCGATTCCTGAGATGCATCGTCGCGTTGCTCTCCTCCAGGAATCTCAGGCGCATTTGCATTTTCTCAACCGAAGCCGCCGACTCCCGATATCCCGCTGTCTCGTACGTGCGTACGTTCGCGATTCTCTCCGTGTATATGTACGAGTTTTTGGAAAACGACGGATCTCCCCGGCCTGTGGCTAATAATGAGTGCAAATTAATGTTCGTCGTTGTCTCTCTTAATTCCATAATAATATCGAAGATCAATTTCGAAAGAAACACATAATGAATCTTGCGCTTCATATTCGTTGCAAACATTATATCTCGATCAAAAAATAGGAAAAGGGCAATTCGAGTTTAAGCACAGGACTAATAGTGCCATATACCATATGGATAAAAAACCATATGTGTAAAATATTACACGATTTCCTAACACAAGGAAGGTTTTTTACCCATATGGTATATAGCACTATTAGTCCTGTGTTTGAACTCGAATTGCCCTTTTCCTATTTTTTGATTGATATCTTCGTTTGCGAGTTCTTATTTCTTTCTCTAAATTATATCTCGAGTACAGTTAGATTTTCCTTCGAGGATAGGGGATTACTGTTGCCACAGACTTCAAAAGAAGGGTTTCCCATGGTAGATGTACAACAGGCCGTAGTATAACAACTGTGAGGATACTTGTAATCCGAATACAATCGCCAGGAATCTGTTGTTGGATAATGAGCGCACGACATGGTCCTCACGTTCGCGTTCTCAATAGAATTGTCAAATATAACCGTCTCCCGTAAGCCGCCCAATTTGTCGACACCGATACTGAGTTACTCCTTGTTCTGGAAAGAAAATTCTCCGTTCACATTTTCCATATTTTTACCGAGTATACGCGTCATCGTTTCTTCCACGAAAATGCACGCCGTTTTTCATACGCGTACAGACTGAGAGGTCGAGACTCACTCTGTGATGATCCACGTCGGCGACTCTTCCGCGCTCGTGGTTCTTCAAATTTAATCTGTCCCAACCTAGAATCGAGTCACTCTCGTCTTTCACCGGACTGCTGACGCCTCTTCTTGTCCCTCTTCCTCTTTCGTACGGTAAATAACGGCTACTGCGAATCGCTGATCATGGGATCGGCAGGTCCCTCGCCGACCTAAACGACCAAAAACCCTTTCCCCCGAGTCTTCACATATCCCTCGGCCAAGGGGTGAGAGCGAAGTGAACGCTCGTTACGTAAGCCACATGCGTCACTTACTTCACCGCGTGAAATTTCGTGAAATCTCTCATCACGGTCATTGACCATCGAGCTACTTTGTTTTTTTCGTGAAATGTGATGCACATTTCACGACAATTAATTCAAGGTGGACTTGATACGAAATCAACTACTTATGCTACTTAAACGCAATATATATAAGATATATTTTTGCGCGTAACTTGTATTTTTCAGTCATTAACTTCGTATTTTATTGTCTTTAATGAGAAAGATAGAATTGTAGAACAAATCATTTTCTCGCGGGAGTTTCGTATTTATCCGTGGTAGATAATATTACCGAAATAAAGCGGCGAAAATATCCCGTTGCGACAAGAAAAGGAGCAGCGACGTGAAACGAAACGACGAACGTCAAACGATTATTCCGGCCGCATTTGACTTATCATGGCGCCGTTGGACTCTACAGCTACGATTACGCGGGCCGTAAAGAGAAATGGAGGCATCGTGAGAAATTTTATTTCGGCGGGTAGTACGAATCGCGCTTCTTCCGTGCGATTTCACGTTACCGTGTATTACGTATTCGTAAATCCTTTATGCGTGCATAAATCTCTCATTTGTGTGCGTTCATACAAACGTGTACAACGAAGAAGCAAAATTAAATAAAAGATCCGTGATATTTTGATATTCAGTAAAAACTATTTCTTGCCTCTACTGTTTCTTGCCTTTATATACCAGAAAATATAAATTTTTAATTTACGTACTAATAAAAATATAAATTTAAAATATAAATATTACGCACTTGTACGTGCGATTTGTACGTTTTCGACGAGCGCAATATCGAAAAATTAAATACTTTTTGGAAATCTAGACATTTCTTCAATTTAATTCGTTTTCATTTTCCAGAAAATATAGAATTTAATTGGTATGCGCGCACGCGATAGTATCGGGATAATTAATATTATCGTAACGAAATGTATATTATTAAATTATGAACAACGCGATTCTCTCGTATCTTATTAATGAGAGTATATAATATTAAAATATTTAATAATTAAAGCTGGGGAAAAGTAAAAGATTGGGAATAATGGAACGATTGTATGTGAAAAATAATTAAATATCGGGATTAAAGATTGCATTAAATAATTTATAGGTTTATTCATTTTTATCTACAAATAGTACTCATTATCGATGCGCGCATAATGTTACATCACATAATTTCAGAATAATTTTGATCACCTTCAATTTATACGGTACGATACAATAATAGAATTACAAATATGTACTAATCTACATTTTGCACGGCTTGAAATTACATATATATCGTTGTACTTATTGTACGTATCATTCGCGCATTAGTATGAAAGTCTTAGCTGTAAAACATGACCAATGGCTGAAGTTTTTTGGAAACTTATTTGAAAAAACGACGATAAATTAACGACGATAAAAAGAGAGGTAGGCAAAATATATCTACGAAAGTTTGCACGATAAATCAGATACAACGTGTGTTATCGTGCATATTAAATATAAAGCTTTATATGCTACATGCATATCGATTAAAGCACGAACCGTCGAGCGACAAAGTGACAAGAAGGTGCAACAAACTCTGCTTCTTTAGGAAAATCAGTCTTCGTGGAAAATAATAATAAGTTGTTTACAAACAACGCAACAAATATTTACCTCCACGATATCTTGAAATAATAAAATAACTCTGCGATCACCTGAATGACTGGACAAACATTAATGAATTGCGTGTAAAATTACGTTCACACAGACGCTACTAATAAATTACACTTACTCCCTGCAATCTAATCGGAAGTAGCTACGTAACAGATCGTCCACGATGATTCTGATACTCGCGGATTGCGCCACGCGTTTCTCGATTTCGTCGAAATTTTTTAGATTCACCCTGAATGCATTATTAAGACACTGATGATCGAACAGACATATTACACTCATACACGCGTGATCCTTTACGACGGATCGAGTAGCAGGAACATAATTTTGCGAAGGACGTTCATGCGTATCCAGACACTCGTGTATTCTTCTTTTCTTCCTCTTTCTCCTGCTCTCGCTTATTTACGTATTTATTTATCATAAATAGTTTACTTATACAAATTTTTTTTTTTCTTTCACTACTTACTCAGATAGCACAGAATATCCTGAGATTATCCTGGATGTATTTTGCATTGTTCCTAAAGCAGTCTTCGTCCTGGATACATTTAGGATTCTGGGACGTTTTGTGCTGTCTGGTCATAGACGAGATTCGATAACATTATCGTGAAATCAATCATCGATCTCCGTGTAAATCACAACGCATATAGATCACACGCAGATCGTAGGACATCGCGACATGATGGTCACATCACCCATGAAAGTGCGGAGGGAATATGTTACACATTAATATATTACATATATCGTTACGCACGTATTATTACGTATATGTACACACGCGGCAAAATTTTCTCGTTTGTCTCTTTGTATTATACATATGTATGCATATGTACATGTATACTTTGAGCGTATTATTTTCCACATAGGCTGTTCGATAGCTATAGTTGGATACCTCTTGTCCCGGTTAATTTGGCAAATAAATTTTTGAGTTTTTTTTATGAAAAAACAAGCCTGCGTAAATCATATGTTACTATTAAAAGAAAGTCTCATACGTGGTACATAATGCACATATTACTACGTGAAATCCCCATATTTGACGACTTTAATCAAGAATTCAAAGAACATTAAGTGAGATAACATCAAGAGATAAGATTTATTTTCTTCTCGCAAATTGCGACAGTTCCCCACAAATCACTGTTCCGCAGTACTGAGATTCTAAGTTACCCTGTGAAAATACCCTGACAAGTAATTTAAGTATAAAAGTCGAGATAAAAGTCGTGGATAAAAGGTATCTTTAACGATCGATCGAGCCCAAAATACTAACTAATAATTATCGCGCAAGAGAGTAACAGAAAACATACATTATAATCGCTTTCCCAATGTCCCCTTTAATACTGATAATATCGGTGTGCACACAATTATTTTCGATTAAGTACTATCTTGTGACTATTTTGTCTGACTTACGCAATTCTCTTATGTCTAATTTCTATATCTGAGTAGTAGAAAAAAATAAGTGTAAACTCATTGGTTTTGGTATACTTATATTGTAATCAAGGAAAACTTAAACTTTTCTCTCTAGATATGATTGTTGTACAAAAAGGCATAAATAAATATAAAATAAAACAGAAGTACTTGAAAACGATAAGTTCATAAATTTATTACACGTAATTATAGATATATTTAATCTATTTCGAGATTGTGTATTTATATTTTTGAAATTTTATAGCCCTTTTTTCAAGAAAAAATTTTTTCGATTTGTATTCTTTCGCTTCTCAGATATAGATACACATATATATACTCAAGTGGAAAGATAGTAAAGAAACTGGAGTAGTGTTATATACAAAAGTTTTAGGATATCAGATTGCATCACTAATAAAACAATGACGATCAGTTTGCTTTTCCTCACTGATATATAAAATCATTGGCATCCTTTACGTCATTGTCTCAGAGTGAGAAAATATTTTTCGAGCAATTTATATGATGTTGAGATCACTGCACGAGTTTACGACGTTAGATAAGATAATGTACGCCGTACAAGTAATACCTCGTTAATTAACTTATATAATAAGAAAGGATCTCGCGATAGCGATCCTTTGTTACTGGACGGTGTGAGAAAGTCATACGAAATCCATCGCAGATAACATTGCGATGGAAAATATTCGTATTGAAATAAGACGACTGGTGACGCTTCTAATTAGTTAGACGACAGTACAGTATAATTTTGGCTTTCAATCAGTTTTTTTTTTTTTTTTTTGTTAATATTCACACTAGAAGGAACTACCAAATAAAGCTATACGAAACTTCACATTATGAGATCGTACGTATGTCATGGTCATTGTACTTCGAGTATAAGGACGAGAGATTATAAATATTTAAGTTAAAGAGAGAAATAAAGACAAACTGAAGACAGTCAGACAAATTATTGGCCGCAATTCGAAACTTCGAATTTCGAACTTTAAGGTATTTGCAAGAAAATTTCGTTCTATCTTTCGAAGAACACGGTCTTTAGACTAAGGAAACCATGACGCGTTTCCGCGACGTAGTATGTAGCATTGTGAAGTGCCCGCTCCTGCGGGAAGAATGAGCCGTCAGAGACGTCGTCACGGTCGTCCTCGTGCTATTACTCGTGGTTCCGGTACCAAAGCAGTGATGCGGATTCGCGGGACACCATCCCGAAATCCAGGAGATTGCCTGCATGTTCCTACCGAGCAACAGTTGTTGTTTAACGAAGAATTCCTATGAAGAGGACTTATTACCACCTCTTCTTCATCCCAAGAATGTTACTGTCTTCATGGTTAATCGTAGATCGTCATTCCAAACGTGTGATAGAAAGCATTACATAAGAAAATATCTCCAAATTCTATTCGGAGTTATTCGGAGTTTTCAAATATTAGTATTTTACCATTAAAATCATAACGTTATACTTAAATTAGTTTATTTCCTTGAATATTTTATACCTTGCAAATCACCCTGTATAATATTAAATCACATGCTGTATTACTGTTGCAATATACAACTCTGCTGTTCAGCTCATTTCTCGTGTACATTTATTACGTTTTTGCATTTAACAGTATATTTATAATATTTTAATATGCTTTTAATCAAGATGTATATTTGTTCCTCTTGCGTGCAAAAATAAAAGTAAAACAAACATAAAAGTGAAAATCTCAATAAAAATGTGACATTGAAAATAGTTTTTCATAGTGATGAAGAAGTACGACATAAGAAATATATCAATAATAATAAATCGATCTGAACGAAACAGCAGAGGAAGATGCAACATAAAAAATAATCAAGTAGTAATTAGAGTTTAATAAGCATACTCACCGTACGGTTTTACAAAACGGCGTGCTGAAGAGACAATAGATAATCGGATTAGCAGCCGAATTGAGCGGTGTTAAGCTCTGTATGAAGGTTGCGACCGCGATATTCGTCTGCGTCTTTGGCACGTGCCCATAAACCTGGAGGAGATCGAAGACTATGTATGGGCTCCAGCAAAGAATGAATACTGAAACATAACCGTGAATACCGCAATTATATTTCGGGACGGCGAACAATACGTATACCGCGGAGTGCATCAGTTATTATCTCCGTCAGGTAATTAAAATATTTTGTTGGCTTCTGAAGTATTAAATCGTACTTTTGTCAGTCGTGTTAATTAATATTTCTCAGATCGAATCTATGCGAGTGTCAGTTTTATAAATGCCAGAAGTGAATATTCGGAATATTATAATGAAGCAATCGGGAGTAGGAATACTGAATTGAGAATCTAGGACGCAGGAAGCAAAACGTCTCGGGACGTGAACAACGATACATCATATATTTCCACGTGTATTCAATAATTTATTATTATATATTATTATGAGAGGACAGGACTAAAGATTAAATACAGATAGAATATTAAAATAACCATGTAGATTTTTAGCTATTAATTAAAAAAGATTAATTCATAACTTTTCACGATAATACTCCAAAGTTTTCTTAACTTTGTGATGGAGTAACATTTATGATCTCTCTCTAAATGATTTTCGAATAGCCATATTATATATTGTAAAGTACGTTGTGCATTAATAGCAAAAAACGCGCCATTTAAAGTCATACAAGAAATGTTCAACAATTTTCTCTCTTGATTTTCAAATTGTGAGAGCTGTTTTTTTATAAAATAATTGTATATCACTTTGTTTTTCCGATATACTAGTGTATCGTACGATGCAGTGAAATGTAATAGCAGTGAAATTTGCGCAAATATGAGTAAAACATTAAATGCAACGAAAATGAGTTCTGTCGTTTCATGCAATAAATCGACTTGACAGAATACAGCAATGGCCGTAACATTATTTGAAGTAAATTCTTCACGGATAAAACGGCGCGATTGTTCGCGCCGTTGACTTCAATTAAGAGTTATCGTTGCCATCTTAAATTAAGAACGTTACAAAAGTCCTGACAAAACGAGCTCCGAGCGCCAGTTTGCGCCAGTTTGCGCCAGTTCCATTCTAGATAACGAACTTAACGGACCTAAAATAGCAAAACGTTCCATTTGTCTCTTTGGAACATGTTTCCGAAATAGCGTGGAATTGTTGATTCTTTCCCTACTTTTTGCACAAAGAGCTTATAAAACAATAAAGTCTGGAAGTGATCAAAGAGGAATGAGGATTACGAGAAAGTGTTTTAATGATTTGTGCGGTGAAACAAAATACGAATAACTGAGAAGTGCGTAATAATGTATATAATTTTAATTATAAGAACGTTAATGAGTGCGTTTGTGTGGCACATTCGTCGGTTTGGAAAATTGTTCTTTCACAAGGTAGCATCGAATGCATTCACACAAAAGAGCATCCCGAACATCGTTTTAATTGCCATATAACTCTCATCTCGCGTCCGTATTGAAGCTTTCGCATAGATTTATTAGTGAACTCGAGAAGTCGGAAACATGTTTGTCGCGTCTGTAACAATTTATTTACTATCGTTCTATTTACTAGCGTTCTACGGACAACGCTCGCATAGCACGTCGTATTATTTCCTATATTCTTTCGAGACAATACAACATTGATAGTCCGCTGTCTCGAGAGAAGAAACAGTGATTGAAAGTTTGCACTGCTCGATATACTTCCATAAATTCAGCAATAAAATTGAAACAGCGTTCTTGACAGAACACTCAACTTTTAAAGCAGAACACTCGCATACATCGATTTATTCCATTTTTTACCGTTCATTACATTCTTGAGATTCTTTATTCTTCAAAATTTTTATTTCTCATTATTAATATTTTTGGAAAAAAATTCAATTAACACTTTGCCGAATGTTTTTTTTTTCTTTTCTTATATTTAAGACGGTGTATTTTATACTTTTTGCGAAAATATGGAACTCGATCTCGAGAAATGTAGCTATCAGAAAGCGTACGAAGACGTTTTCTAAAGAGGAGGATATTTGACGAGGTTATCAGGTTCGTGCATTTCGCTGCAATAGTAAGCAGATCGATATAAAATGATCAGCGCGCGATATGGCCGTCTGCAAATCTCCGTGGCTATAAGAATTTATGCCCGACCTTCGAATGCGTGACATTTCAATATGTCGTCGAGTTAAATGTATTTACACGTGGATTATGTATAAACGTAGTATTATTCCGTAATGAATTGAAAAACATACTGTCAAGCATAAAACGTGTCGCTTAAATGTGATTTATTTTCGTTGTTAAAATCGCTTTACGCACAGCCATTTTTCCGCAATCGTTTATGACACGGAAACTGCCGGTGCTTCGATATTTCCGAGGAAAAATATATGTGAAATTCATCGTAGAATCTGTCATGGAAATTCAGGTCACTAGTTGTTAGTCTATATCGACAGATATCGTGTGAGACAGGCTGTATAGCCTTCTTTCAACATGTCCACGACTAAAAAGGAAAGAAGTTTAGAACTATCGCCTCAACGACGGCAAGACGTCGATAATGGAAAAACTACGAGCAAGGAACAGTTAAACGCGAAGAATGGCGCAACATCTGTCGCGACTGTGTAATAATTTTCTTTTTCTTTTCTTTTCTCTTTTTTTTTTTCTGAAACAAAATTTCGTAAACTGTTCTCGCGGCTAATTCGTTTCTCGTTTAATGTTTTCGACGATCTTTCCTCTATTTCTTCGTCGATATTCCTAAATGCGTTAGCGATCTGTAAATAGAACTACGATGAAATCACGGAATCCATCGGTGCGCGTAATTTCGAGAACATTGTCACACCTGCGACCCGATGGAATAACTTAAGGAAACCGGCGTACGATCGGCGTGAAATGGTTCGGAGAGTTATAGTCATCGATTTGGAAAAAGGTAACGGTTGGGCTGATAGTGGAGTGATATAAAGAAGCTCGTTGGGAACTTTCTATGGATCGTATGCGAGATGAAATTCGATTCTCTCTCTTTTAGTGCTCACAAGCTGATCATAGGAACTCTCGCGTACCAGCGCGTTATTAAATTTCCTGAGGCGAAGAAAAAATTATATAAAGCCAGGGAAACTGATTATTCGCGGAATAAACATTAAACGTTTAATATTTTACATCAAAAATTCTCTGTAGGCGAGGCAATTTCTTACGGATCACAACTATTCGCATTCCCAACGACAGAATTTGTGGCGCTTATTTTTAATATTTCTTTTTAAATTTACCAATAAAGTCACTGTGCGCGTCAGTGATTTTATATATAATAATCCGATATATTCATCCATGCAATCTACCGTGAAAAATACTTACCGTGTATCCGAGTCCGCGCATATTGTTCGATGATAACGTTACGGATTATTAAATTGAAAATTGAGTGCGTGGCCAATAAATACATAATTGAAAAACGTATTTAATTAAACATGTATATCGCTCGATTGGTCGGTCGTGATGAGAACTCAATGCTTTGATGATCAGTCGAAACATACGAGTGTTTCGGACGATTTATAATTACATTGTCTCTTTTGTAAATGATAGTTGAACGTGTTTATTTTGCTGATGTTCTCGACAAAACAAACACCGAGTATTAATGGATTCGTTGCTCCGACATTCCAATATTATAACAGATAAAGAGTCATTAAGAGAAGGTCACCTTGATATGCGTAAACTTTATTCTCAACTAAACTCATAAATACTAAAAGAAAATTAATTAAGAGAACACAGTAATTTCATATTAATCCTGAAGTTTTGATTAAAGACGCTTCATTGATTCCAGTATCGATAATAAGAGGGAACTTTGAGTGTGTTCGTGTTCTAATCTTACTTTTTTTAAACAACTTTTCTTGAAATATTGATATATTGAAAAAAAATGTTCGTTATTTGTAACTATAATTATGTAGAGAAATAATTACTATAAGTAATAAGTAGTGGTCAAGAATATCAATCAATTCAAAATTTTTATTAAATTCTACTATAATGTTAGTGATAATAAACTTATATGCGTGTTACCACTACTATTACCACTACTATTTTCATGTTAGAATAACTAAAAAGTATTGTTGTGGCCAAAAATAACTATAATTTTAGTTAGATCAACTATTTTTTCTCAGTGTAGAATTAACCTTCGATTTTTATACATTTTTTGATAAAATTGTCTAATATTCAAATCGGATACAAAAATTTGTATCCGATATTAAATCTAAATTAAAAATAAATCTTTGCTTCATACTGATAGACGTTTGTGTATCAGTAACTAAAAAGTGATTAACAAAGCGCGAAGAAATAATTTCATAGAACGAATATAAAGCGAGAATAACTTGATATTGCGTCGCAACTAACCAGAAAAATGCTTCGCTATATAAAAATGCAAAAATTTTGTCTTTTGACTTTGGGGTGTAATGCATTGCCAACGAGCGCGATCGTAATCCGCGATACATTATGCGCATGGTAATTTCGAATCACGAAACAAGAGCACGGCTGTCGTTGTAGCTACGGCACTCGTTACACACGAAATTTATGCCGCATGCGTAACTTTTCTCGTTCCAAGCTTCCCGGCTTTCGGAGATTTTACATATTCTCCAGTTTCGGAAAATGCCGGGAGAATTCGGTCGGTCTCGGGTCCATCGAGTCGCCGGGACGATCGTCGTCAGCTAAAAAAGAAGGAATTTCGCCACTGTCGCCAATTGTCGGAAGCGAATCTGATTAGCTGCGGCGATTTCTTGTGCGCGTAAGATCAGCCCCTCGTAAGCCGAAGGGACAAGCACACTGTTCACGCGGAAAGAGCTCGTGGATGTTCTATACTGTGACTATCAACGTGCAGGAGATAATGGGACCAAATAATTGAGGTAGTATTGAGGTAGTTACTTGTGCTTTTCGGAGTACACAAATGAAATCTATTTTGAGACAAAATAGTTTGAATTTCTTTTGCATCGCCAAATACTGGAACACATTTTTTTTACCGCTATATAACATCTTAATAAAGAAGAAAATTTTGTCTTGGAATGTTTACTTTCAGCATTAGTTGCCTTTTTTATGTGAAATCCCCATAATTTGATCGCACACCAATTAAATCGAGGGCAGCCCACAATCGCTATAAAACCGTCGAATTAGCACCCGTAAATTTTTCGTTCGTAATTATATATAATCTAGAAATTATATTTACCTCAAGGCAGCGTTTTTCTCGAACACACTGTATGCACAATCCTTCCCGTTTCTTACGCCACTCGTACTCGTACGAAGATATCGAATAGCGAGCATACGAGCTTATCTCCTTGTGGCGCGTCCTTTATACCGCGCAAATAAAACGATTCACCGATTTCGTATCAAAGATATAGGAGGAGCCAGAGATAGGAGGTTATTACTTTTTACTGCAGCGAACTAGACACGCTCCGAACGTCCTCGACAACGTCGCGGCCGTTTCTGTTATTGTCGTTCGCAACGAATTTAGTAAAGTATTCATTTGTACGTCAAAGAGAAAAAGAAGCATTCAAATTTTTATATGGAGCAGGGGGGAAGAGGAAGTATGTCACGGCTCCTCGAGATCTAAAAGTTTCCCTTGTATTTGCATGAATCGACGGAGGGGTGAAAGCCGATAGTGAAATCATACGCCAGACTTTGAAATATAACTTCACGAAGCCAAAGAAGCTTATATAAATCCTCGAACAGAGAGATTCTCTAAAAAATCTGGCTCCTTTAAAAAATGAATCTCGCAATGGCGCGATAGAATTACAAAAAAAAAAGAAAGAGAAAAAAGGGAAGAAACAAAATCCATGACGCTTTTCGACGCGATAGTTTCCGAGCTCTCGTTCCAAGAGAGCTAACGTGAATTTTCGGACGAGTTACCTTACGTGACTGGCGAAATAAACACCTCCGTGAAAGAATGGCTTTTTCTTGGTCGGTCTTACCGAATACTATGACGAAGGTCATCTTCACTGTTTTGATTTTCGCCCTGGGAATAAGACCCCTCGAGGACGCTCTCCTCGTATCCCTGGTAGGTCCCTGACGTAGCGCTCCTCCTTGCGACCATATCGTGGCCACGATGACCATGTAACACCCTCCTATTATCAAAGTGGGCGCTATAAAGAGACTGAAGCTCACCAGACTCATGTAGATTCTCCATTGGGTCGGCGAGCCCAAATCGATCCAGCACTGCATCGTGCCCTGTAAAGCAACGATCCAGCCGTAATTAGGATCTCTGCGTAGAAACGCTTAAAGTTATGTTAAGACTTGGTTCCGCAACTTATTTTAATTGGATCTTTACTCGTTACCTTAACATGTTAAAGGCTTTTCCAAACAAACTTGCATAATCATATATTGTATATGCATAAGAAAATCAACCAATTATAACACGTGCAGTAAAAAGATCTCTTATATTAGATACATTTTACGTTAGATCTCTTATATTAGATACATTTTACGTTAGATTAGTAAATTTTCATATGCATATGAATAATACAACTATGCAAGTTTGTCTAGATAGGCTTTTAACGAGTTAAATTCCGGTTAAAGTAAATTTGCGGAACTGAGTTTAAATATAGATCGTAAACTAAAGTCTACAGATAAAAATAAATTTAAGCTAATGCACAAAGAAAATTGTAACATGACAAAATCACGCGTGATTTTGTGAAATCAGACACATTATCATGTATGAAGTAAATATATAAACTATTTTATAATAGTAGAGATATAATCAGAAAGATATAATAGTAGAAAGATATGTAATTATAATTTGTAGAGATATGTAACTCAATAAATCAGTATCTTGATAAAATTTGTATTACTTTTTCTACATTATAATGATTCTTTAATTTAGTTGTTGCAATAACCAAATGAATAAACAGTATACTATAGAAGAAAAAAAAATTTTTTTGATAAGAAATATTAATTTATCAACTGAAATATTTTTCTTCTAATCTTATTTTTATCATAAAATATTTGATACATACTTTATACTATCTTATAAACAATGAAATATTTACAATTTTCTTTGTTGACCTAAGTTTACTATTACTCATAGACTTCAGTTTATGATCACATAAATGCAACTTAAAGTGTTACGGACGTTCTTGTGCAAAGATTCTTAAACTTCTTGCGATTAAACTTAATCTCCTTGACGCGTAATTTCTGCATTTCGATACATCATTCGGTACTATTACGTAACAATCTTGTGTGATATCATCAATTCCATTTATTAATGTCAGTTCATCCGTTACTTTTTTGTTTTGTAAATTTTTTTGCACGCATCCGTGCATATGTGTGAAATATTTTACAAGAGATTAATTAATTTGATATGCATATGTTCATCATTATTAACAATGACTTGTGTTCCGATTTAATTTTTGAATGAAAAAAAATGCGTTTGTTTTTCTTCTTAATAATATAAAGTAGACTTATTTAGGCGGATATATTTATACCTGTATTCGTTTCTCTTCGTATAGAAATATAATCGGCACGCTGAATAATACCGACAGACCCCAAGCCGCAGCTACCAGAGCTCGAGCTCTCCACCCTGCGATCAAAATGAACCCATCAGTGGACGGAAAATAAACATACGTAACAAGCGCCGGAAATCTGAGACGGAACTTGCAGTCAGCTCCCGCAATTGTTGACTTAAACGAGAGTTCTCTGATGATAGATAGGCGTAGGCGCGGTGAACTTTGCATACCGCGGAGTATGAAGGAAGTTTGATCATTTTCGTAAACGTTGAATTTTACAACAGCTGGCGCCTCGGAGAGATGAATGGAAAACGAATAATGATAGAACGGTCGCGGCGGGAAATTGCGAAGCTTTCTTGAAGAATCGAAATAGCAAGTATGTCAAGTAGCTGCTGCAATAACGTAAAGAGCACTCGTATACGTAATATGCTTATGACACGATTACACCGGATCATCCGCTTTCAGTCTTATAAGATAACACGGAGAATGATGCATACGCCGCGACTTCGACATGTTATCGTTACCCTCGCGCATGTCGTTTATTTTTCAGTGATGTGTAATTTAGGAGGGTCGTTGGTAATACCATGGCATATCGGGTCGACATAGAAAGATGTTACTCAACGTGATAGTCGACGCGCGCCCATTAATCTCGCCGTAATTACGACGTACAATTGATAATTGTGATCCGCCGGTAGTCGAAAGAATAATCATTCGTGAGAATTCGTACGACGCAAACGGCTGTACATTACCACGAAGAGCAGCAGATGGTGCTTTAAGAGCCCCACGCGATTCAATAAAGCCCATTCGTGTCTACTCGAGAGAGATACTTTAATTTCTATTCAATAACGTTGAGTGAGAAATGGCTATTGGTGAAATTAATGAAATATTACTTACCTTGAGACACGTAATCGGAGTTATAAATTCATTGAAAGCCAGACGGATCAAACCGTCATGGGTATATTTAAGGACGCGTTTGAACGTTTCGAGATACGTTGAGAAAAATCCCTCGGTTATCTCAACATTTGCTGTTTAATTGTTGTTAAACAAACAAATAAAACGGTTACCGTTGCGAATAATTTTTCTCATTTGTCAGCTTAACAAACACACATTGCCTAAGATAACAAATTACATTTGCTATTCAAGTTAACTTAGTTATGTCTCCATGACAAAAGTATTGTTTAGAGCAGCAAATTGAAAGTAATAAATCATTTGTTCCCACTGCAGGCTCATTTGCTATCCCGTATCAGCAAACCATTTGTTACGGGCACAGATTTTGTTAAATTGGCAAAATCTTTCCTTTCAATAATATAACACGGTTTTCCTAGACTAAACTTCGGTCTTTAATCCTTTGCACTCGTAACGTGTTTCGACACGAGATATATTCCCGAGTATAGTCTCGACTACGATCGCAAAGGGTTAATCCGTAACGGTCCGTAATATCGAGGGCTGGCCTAAGAACAAGAGTAATTCTCTCGTATTAATCCGTCCGCGATCGAGACATCCGGCGAATGTGGTCGAACGTGAATCGCGGTTCAGAGTAGGGCACCTACCAATTTCTGTAATTCTCCGGCTACCCCAGTTGGAGAACAACGAACGAAACGCGGAAGATAAATTTTATTCTGGCGCGGTGCACGCACCGCAACGATCCGGCAACCGTGAGATGCCTTCGTGTGATAAACGATACGGCTATCTCGAGCAAGAGAAATAAAGGAACCCCGGTGACACTACGGTTCGATCCTTTATCCTGTCGTGTCGTAAAAGGGGAGACCGGTAGAAAAGATACTTGTCGATGAAGATACTCGCTCATTAAAATACGCACACGCAATTATCTCGTTACGCAACTCTCTCCCATCTTATTGTTATGTCATGAGTACGAGATATGTGTGCCATATTATAGATATAATAGATATGCTATATAAGAAAATGTTTTTATAACAAAATTTTTGACGGCACAAAGAATTTTCTTTTCTTGCTTAATTTTTCTTCCTGTGCAATAATAATACATGGAATAAAAATTATGTTATGACTATATTTCCTCTTACAATATCTTTTGCAAAACTGAATTGTACTGAAATTGTAGTATCAATTACTATGTAGTAGAAATAGTAACTTTGACGATATAAAGAACATCTAAGTAATTTCAATAATTTTCTAATAAAAATCAAACGTGCATAATATTGTTCAACAAATATATAGTAATTTCAGTCACAATTCTATATGGCCTAAGATCACTAAAGTTTTGATGTGATTTTTACTACACTATTTATTCCATGTACATTGAGAGCGAAGGATACGCACGAATATCATATCAAATGATTAAGTTTATAATCGAGAATTCCATCACTCGAGTGAACCCGAAAGTAGCATTATCCATCCTCGACTGACATTTTACTCGGTTCGCTTTTAGAACAAAGTTTATTTTCCGGGAAGAAATTTTCTCCACGCTTCTCCGGACGTCGCGTGACTTCGTAGCGCTTAATTCACCATTAAGTTCTCAAAGCATTCTCCTCTACTTATTATCATTAAAGTATTATACGCGGCAAGGTGCGTGAGAGACGAAAAGTGAAAAGTCACTCTTTTGGCTTTGAGGTTGAACGTCATTCACGCCTCAAATCGCGTTATATATACTCCACGGAGCTTGAGCTGAATTAATGAGTTTAGGTCGACCCGGCGTAGCTCTGTGAGGGAGTTCGCAATATTAAAGGACGAGATCACGTCCGCTAATGTACTCACAGCTGCCAGAGAAGTTCATTGGACGCGTAATAGCGTCGTATCTGTCGATTGACAACGCCACGAGGACGTAGGTCGAGCTATATGTCACTACGGCCTGCATGAATCTTATCAGCTTGCAAGCCACATTGCCCGCATGCCAGGTGACCGTCGTTCTCCAGACTATGTCCGTTAGTACGGATATCAGGCCGACGAGCAAATCTGAAACAAGATACGCGAATTGTAAGGCAGCGATCACTAATGACGTGGACTAATTATCGGCGCCTGTTAATACGGTTGGGCATTATCCGTTTCAGTGATATTTTCCGGTCTAACCGAAATCACGTTTAATACCGATCTACTGTTCACCGTAATACCACTGTTATATCCGAGTTAATACCTCTACGCGCGAATTACACGAAGATCCGATTCGCTCGTTTTACATTCTCTGTTTTCAGGATCGCGAAATAGCTATTACAACTCGCTCAATGAGTCGAGATTTTTGCTTACGTTGCGAATTTAATGTCGCGACGAGAAACGCGAGCATTGTATGTGCGAAATTAGAATTTTGATATTGTATGTATATACTGAGTCAAGCGGACGAGGGAACGCACGGAAGTTTCGCAATTGTGCAGAGACACGTCAGCCAGCTACTAATTAACATCGTACGTAAAACAAAATCTGCTTCGACCGTCGAATGAGCGCGGCGCAATTTGCTTGCAGCTCGATCGCGACAGGCTATTTCGCTTCGTCCTATATTCGCGTGGGTGGCGAGTAAAAGTTCTCGACGCGGATGTAAAAATGAACGAGCGCGACAGTGCCACGTGATAATGCATCAGTAATCTTGATATTTCCGTTTGGCCGTAATAAACGTCATAACAATTAGGAGATGCTCCTACGCGGCAATAATCTTCGTGGGAATATGTTTTGACATTCGCGTTCTGCAACGATTTATATCATGGAAAAATTGTAATAAAAAGTCCAGGATTACACTCTTCCAAAAAATAGAAATGGGACGCAGAATGCTTGCCGATTATTACTAAAGAAAGAGAGAGGGAGAGAGAAGGTAGTATATTAAATAAAAGTGTATATAATTTTTGTTTACATTTATTTTTGTTTAAATATTAATGTGTCGTATTTGATCTACGGTGGATTGGTGATAACTTTAATGGACTTAAATAAATATAGGGGGCGATTGTCATGAAAGTAACTCACTCTTATTAAACAGTGTCCCTCACTTTGTCTCTTAGTTAAAAGAAAGCGATATCGCTTCTCCTTTTATTTCGTGAAAATTTTATATTGTACCAGGCGCAAACACACAAGACGATATCGACTCGATCCTGAAAACGTGATCGGAAAAGAGACGGCACAGGCTCATCCCTACTGGTTCTCCGAATAAAACAAGTTCGTCCCCCACTTTTATCGCCCGTATTTTATCGACGAAGTAGAAATTCGATTCCGCACCCTCTCGCGACTCGATAACACCAGTCGCAATATTAATGTTGGGCCAAAAGCCCAAGTTAGGGAATAATTGCATCGAGAGTGTAATATGAACATGCGCCGCGCGTTAATTAAACTAAAAAGCAATTCGATACTGTTATTATAATAATAACTCATAATAATTTTATTTATGCATAGCGTGTCATATGTGTGTCATATTGGATCACTGATATCATTTTCAGGATGTCAGAGATTTAATCCTTTTATCTATAACTTCATGATACATGATCTTCGTGACGCATTCTTATGCATTTTCGTATGTCAAAAAACGTAATGCTTTTAATTAGAGATTTCAATTTTTCCGTGCAACTTCTATCCTTTATTTTAACGTGCCTTGTGTTATTTTGGACATAATATACGCCGTTAGTTTAAGATTACATTGCACAAACGGTTTAGTCTCCGGTAGACAGCTGAAGTGCGCGAATAATGTGAAGAGGAGTGGATTTTGTAGCACGCGAAATATGAGGATAAAAATGCAACAAGGAACCGAAGTTTTCCACCATGTTACTGTAAGAAGAGAGAGAAAAAGAGAGAGAAAACCTGCCTTGTTAAAAGCAGACTGCGGAACTTAAAATTTGAACTATGATGGAAATAATTTCCGCGTTAATAATATTAATGATGGAAATAATTTCCGCGTTAATAATATTAATTCCGCATGTTCTCTGTACATACTCTATCTAGTGCTTTGTAACATGTATATGATGAAGATGATGTTTCATTACGGAGTATAATATATGTAATATATAGAACATATAGAGAAAGATTAATATTACTTACTATTGCGACAGAGGAAAATTGCACGTTTGCTGTAAGGAGAAATTTTCTAAAGAAAAATTTTCTATAAGATGACAGTAAACATTACGCGAGCTCTGTATTGTTACATTTCAATGGTAAGAAATATCGGAAAGTGCACAAGGGAATATACTTCGCGCAGCAAATAATTTCTCTCTCACATTCTTCTCGCACATCAATGTGCAACATCGTTATTTATATAGAAGCCGCTTGCTTCATCCGAATGACTGTATCGTGAAGTACGTCTGCAACTGCATTCACTATCGAAAACGTTTCAGTGGATATTCTTAAGTCGCACCTGATTGCAAGAGTTCATATTTCTTACATATCGTGTTTTCTACGTACTTACTCTATATCAACATGATTACAAGGTCATTCGCTATTATTTCTCATATTAGGGAAGAAGTATCGTCAAGCAGTCGATCACTTCATAAATATCGATTGAACATCCATTTAAAGGAATACATATTTGTAAGGACAATTCTTCTAATTGTCTCTGCGAATATTTTTTGTAATATCCAGAATATTTACAAATGGGACTTTTTTCTCGTACTATTCTTTCCTCGATGCTCATGGAATATCTAACGCCATGCCATAAAAGACATTCTTCCTCTCCCATCTCGCTTAACCCCGGCATTAACCCCGCAGTAAGTGCATCCGCTTTTACTGTCGCGAGTTATTACGCAAGTAGTGCGAGAAAGATTTACTAGACCGGATTAACTCTCATTTAACGTCCAGAATATTTCCTGAGGATAAAAATAAGAGATTCTTTATTTCCCTAAGCTAACCACAAAACTTTAATCAATCTTACGTATGTCAATAATATTCAAAGTTTTATTTGCACTTCTACTGCAACTTAATCTAATTTTTTTGTTCTTTGCCTCAAGAATATTTGATTTGAACTATTGTACTCATTGAATTTTTATATTCGAGATGATTTTTCCATTAAAGCGAAGTACAGCTTGATAAAACATTTCATTCTATATACGGTAAAAATAAATGATACATTCAAAGCGATAAAATAAATAAGAAAATAATATACGACGTATTTATTTATCTTTCTCTCTCTCTCACTCGACGTTGCACATATTCCAGAGTAAGTACAAAAGTATGGACACGTATGGTCGGCTCGATATCTTTTATGGGCGAACATATAACGGGCATTAAGCTCCGTTATTGGATCTCCAAGTCGACCTGTGTTATATCAATTCCCCGGTGACGTCACAAATAACAGATATCGACGAAGTCCTCGTATCGAATCGCTTTTGTTTATGATAAGAATATCAATACGCGGGCAAAATTTACGCGACATTTTCCAAAAAGAGAACGAAAGAGAAAAATATATACATACACGTGATACTTGTATAAACATCAAGAGGAGCCGATGTAGCATTTAATCAACGATGAATAAAATGAAGTATCTCTCTCATGCGCGCTCGTTTCTGTCCGCGATATCTCGTGCATAAAGACGCGTCAGCAAAAAAAGGAAGATAAATGTTTATCCATAAAACGCATACACGAAAGAGGATGTGCCGTCGTTTCCCCATGTCTGAATTGCAGGTATCGCGGGTGGAGATTTTAGGGGCAGATTGTTACAAGGAGGAGGCGCTAGCAATTCTCACGATATATCGATGAGCGTCCGACGAATCTCAATGTAACTGTCCATCAATTTATCTGACAAGCAGACTATTAATATCGAATCTCGAATATAGTATCTCGAATGGAGAAACCGTTAAAATTCTGTACGCCTCGACAGAGCAAAACGAAGTTTAATGTTAAGTCGACGACTTACCCGCAAACGCTAGTTGCTTGATGAAAAAATCCATTCGGGATTTTCTGCGCTTTCCCAGCAACAGACCGGCGAGGACGGCGGTATTACCGGCAACTATTACAGCAAACAGTAACCATAGTACCGTGAACTGCTCCGTCTGTAAAAAAGTAAACGTACGCTTGTCTTTATCGCGACAACACGGGAAGAATGTTTTAATTAAATATGAAAAATATTCGCCAACAAGAGTCGACTGTGAATCATGGCGCGCACGATAAATTAAGTTGCGATAAACACGGTATATAAACGCACGTATAGAATTGATCGAAACTTTTTGTATATAAAGAGTGGTGCGCAAAGAATTATTTCGACTATTTATATAAAGGAATGACGTGTACAGTTTCACCGTTTCGCGAGATAACGAGTAATGTTAATTGCAATATTTACATGATAAAGGCAAGATTTATGTGACAATTTAGTTCATCAATTCTTTACAGAAAACTCTCGTTAGAAAGCGTGATGCGTAAATTGGATTTTGCGAATTTCCAATCTGCAATATTGCTCGAATAATTCGGATAAATTAGTTTGCACGATTCCCGGTTTAGATTACACTTTTATCCAAATTCGCGTTACACGAATTATTTAAATTATTAAAATCACCGATTCGATGATTGCGAGAGCCGTATAGAGTGATGTCCGGGTATATTGGAGGCGAATTAGGAATATCGCTCTACGGTTCCGGCGCGACGTAAACTCATTACTAATTATGTAACGATGGATTTACATGACGGGGACCGCACGTATGTGTTATTGCATTATTTCGTAATCTCAATATCGGCATGACGGAACGTCAAATAGCTATTTATTGATAATCCGTGTGACATAGGCCGAACAGTCGGATTGATTGTTAGCTCGATAGATGATACCTTGCGGTCTTGCATCGTACACGTCAGGATGTGTGTAACGCACGGAGTAACGCGTGGGCGTTAATTTCAACATCGTTTGCATGATACAGTTCCGCACGAGTAGTACGGAATAGTAAGCTAATTTAACGGTTCGGGTATACACACGGCTGATACACGATATCACTTGGTCCACGTGCCCCTGCGTAGATAATCGAAGCCTGTACGCAATTAGAAAAATATAATCAGACAGATTTCAGTAATTCGACTAAGTAACGTAATATGTGAGACACATATGTAACCTAAACAAGATATATACTGCAGTTTTAAGCAAATATACGAGTAAAACGTAAAATTGTAAAATCGTAGTTTAGGAAAAAAAAAATATCGTTGATATTTACGAGTTATCATATGACATATGGTCTGCATAGAATTGTAGATCTACTCATAAGTTTTTACGAGTCTTACGAAAACAAGTCACGAGTTTTACGATTTTATCTAGAATTGCAATATCATTAGTTCATCATCTCATCTTTAGTTGAATCTTCTTGTACACTGAGAGGAAAAATATCTAAGAATAAATAGCAA